GGGTCATTTACATGAACAAACTTGATAACTCTTGAATCATCTGAGCATGCTACTGGTCACATATCACCATCCTTTGCATTTTGGTTATTCAGAATAAGTAATTTAGGGATTTTAACATATTTGACTCATGTGACCTTGAATATGATTCAAGGTCATTCTTTTGAACAAACTTGATAATCTCTCATCCTAGCAATCTACTGGATAAGTATGATCATCCTAGTCATGTTTTTATTGAGGAGAAGACATCTAAAGCTTTTAACCTATTTGACTTCTGTGACCTTGAATATGGGTGAAGGTAATCAATTTGAACAAACTTGGTAGCCCTTCATGCCAACATGTTACTAGCCAAATATCATCATCTATGGCCTTTTGGTTATTCAGAAGAAAAGTTGTACAAGGTTTTTAAAGACAAATAAGATAATTAATCTTGTCACTTATTTCAACAAATTTGATAACCCTTCAATGCCAGTATGCTACTGGCCAAATTCATCACTCTAGCAACCTTCATTCATGTTAAGGACGCCTGTCCCACTGTACTAAATACAGTTACCTCCCCTTAACTTCCGTTGGGATATGACTGTAGCAAAGGTGGGCCAGGACATTTCTATTGACCAGGTAGCTCAAAGTATTAGCATAGCAATATGAAGTCCTGGGTTCGAATTCCGGTCTTATTCCACTGCTTATTTTTTTTACATTTAGAACACATTTTTATTTCATCCTTTTCATTTCTCATAAAAATCCCATAAAAAGCGAACACCTAAGCTATTCAACAAATAGCCCGTGAGTTGGTAAATAGGAGTAATTGTGTTAGAATTACTATCTCACCAATGCACAGAAAATGCATTTTTTTTCAAATAAAACATTTTCATTAAGATTTTCAGGACTTTAAGATTTCTGTACACTACCTTTGCAGCTTCTCTTCTTTTTCTTGTTCTTCCCTAATTTTCTTCTCTTCCTCATCCTCCTTTTCTCGTGACTGGTCTCTCAACGTTGTATCCCTCTTGTTATCCATCCAGGCATTATCAGATGCCTTATTTTCCAAAAACATTTCTGCTTTTCCTGAAATTTTGACCAATACATAAAACACGAATACAACAAAAATACCACAGGTATAAAGGCACATTTTATACCCTTATTAAAAAACAATTCTATGAATCTCATAAAATTACTTAATTATTAAAAACTGTTCTGCGAAAGCCTTGAATCTAAAGTGCAATAATGCTCGAGGTAATCAATGTTTATCACTCTTTATGTGGTCTGACTATCACATATATTTATCATAGTCATATGCCTCTATTTTTACTGATGTATTTCAGTATTTCAGTTTTAATTCTGTACATTTAGTCTAGATATACCGGGTGACACTATGGATGTGTACGCCATTATTTTAATCTTTAACATACCCAAGTAGTAATGACTCTTAAGTCCAAATGGTTCTTAAGATATTGTTGTTTGAACTTTTAAACATATTTGACCCCTGTGACCTTGAAAATAGGTCAAGGTCATTTTAAGGAGGAAACTTTTTATAGCACTATCCATGGTACCTTCTGACCAAATATCATGACCCTGGGCCTTATTTGTGTACACAGGACAGACATTTGTTGATATTACTTACCAGTCAGATTTCATCTACAAGGTTTGATCAAACTTTTACAATGTCAGCAGGAAAGTGACAGATTTATCAAGCAAACCTAGAGTGAAGTTCATCCTGTGATTGTGAATTTCAGGGCTGGATAAATATGGACAATGTAAGTGAACCTTCTGAAGTGTGGAACGGTAAACCTGGATTCATCATCACAGTAACCCTGTGACAGCAGTGATCCTGAGGTAGTTATTCTATAGTGTTTTTACATTACGAAATACTAAACAAACATATACTACTGGATGGGACAGTTATAAGTCAAGATTTCATTTCTTTACATAACAAACTCTTATTTATGAGTGTTTACTGATAATATTATATTGATACAAGAACAACAAACATCTTCAAGATTTCAACAAATATTTCAGCTTTTTTTTTTTTTTTTCAAAATGGCAACCCCTATAAGCCAAATACCTCTCCGTACTAAAGGTCAAACCACATGTATTCACCACAGGGGAAGACAGCTAGAATTGTATTGTGAAAAATGTCAGGAACCGGTTTGTCTAAAATGCCTTTCTTCT